ACTTCACCCTTATCAGATATTATCAGTTGTTGCTGCTAACATTTATGTTTCTATGATCATCAGTACGTAAACGTACCATGACAGCGTCAAAGATCTCTTTCTGTTCCCCATCGCCGTGACCCGTCTGTACAGTACGGACCTCCCACCGTCCTGTCTCATCAAAGTCTTCTGTCTTCTGTATGCGGCTGACCTGGAGGGATAACGTAAGAAAGGAGAACAACGGAACAATAATTGTAGCACAGCTCTACTGGCATATAAGAAAAAGAAGACCGTGTTTAACAATAATATTCCCACCTGTGTGCCGAATCGGATGTGTTTCTTGAGGCTGAAGTGCTGAGCGTAGTCCTGTAGATATGTGTACACGCGGTGGTACGGCAGGTAGGGGGGCGTGTCCTTAGGGAAGGGGAAGTCGCTGAACGACATCATTTCTTTACTGGAGTTTGTGATGAGAGACCGGTACATGGCGGCGCCCTGGTTGGGTCTGACATCGTCAGAGTAGTACCACACGCCGCCTGGAATAGCGGTTTGTATGAAGATTGTTAGAAGTAGCACACAATAGGTAAAGGTGAACAGAACAAGGAAAACATACAACGATTTTCCGAAATGTCTGTGCCTTGCTTTGTCTAAATAGCATCATTATGCAGACTACCGTAATGCTTGAGTCATGTTTTTGCCAGCCTAGTCATGTATTTGACAAGCCTACAGCACGGCAGCGGCGGTCTGTCAATATTGACTATTGACCATATAACAGTCACATGTACACATGCGTACATATGCATGTAGTTTACTTACAACCTTTCACCCCACCCTTCTGTTTTCATTTCCTTTAGTGGGCAAAAATTTCTATTCCCTATCATACTCTCTTTTTTACTATCTAGCTATATCACGATCGAAGTGGAATTATATTTTAGTTGTTCTATTCTTCAACGTTACTGAAATTAACACAGACGTGTAATAATGCCTTGTCCTTACCGAGATCGTCATGTTGCTCGAAGCAGACCGGCTGAAGCCCCTCCTCCAGACAAGCCTTGATCGAAGTGAGTCCGCTCACCCCGGCTCCTATAATGGCCACTCTCTTTGAACCCATAACTGAGGAAGAAAAGAGCAACAAGAACAATCAAAACACTTTGACGGGGGTAATCTACACAAGAAACAGACCTTTTTTTACCTCCAAAACAGTATTACGAATTTAAACATATTGTGTTCAATTTAAAACGAAGTTGGTGTCAGGAAGCAGTACCGTACCTACCATCTACATTGTAACAAAATGTGAAAGAAGGTTTTAAAACTTCAGCACACAGAGGAGAAGCAAGGCAGACAAATCGGGTCATTAAAAAAAACTCAATTGTGCTGCCACATGTGAAATCTTCACATGATACTTCATTAACTTAAAATAACTTAGGATTAAACTAGAATCAATATTAGCGGTTGCTAATATACACAGGTTTGCGTTATAGTGTAAGTTACAATATATTTTTGTGTGTGCTTAACTTTTGCATGGTTCCTTCTCATCCTTTTTTAATCACCACTCACCTTGTAAACAAGTCCCTTTCAACAAAGAACAAACACGCCACAAAACATTTCTCTAAATAACTGGTCCCATCTTTAGGACCACACATTAAAGAAAACACTTTTCTGAATTTAAAGAAAAAAACAACAACATTTTGATTGCTTTCTCTCCCTCCCCCGGGTTGTTTACATTTACAGCCGCCCGCCAGCAGGGCGCCCCCACCTATTTAAACATAGCGGACATACAAGTACAACGCGCCAGCGAAAATGGGGACATATATACTGATCACGAAAACGGCAATTGTACAGTCACGATAGGCCAGATTAAGCATGTAAATGGGTCTTCTCTATCGTATGAAGTTGAACTATCTCCTGTAGCATGCTTGACGATTCAAAAATTATTAGTCTGGGAGCCAGACTTAGCGCCCGGGAGCGGATCCTGGCTTGGGGAGCAGACGAAAGCTAACAAGGCTGACACCCAGGCTTCCAGTGGTCCTTGCTATCCCCTAACGTATATATAACAATAATTTATTTGCAAAATCATGCCCGAAGGCTAATTGCTTGTACAGTCAAGTATACAGAAACAGGAGACAGGTAACAATCTGTCTGGAAAAACCTCTACTTCTACTACTACTCTAGCTATTATGGGGTTCGACTTCTTCTTTGAAGGCAGTGGATAATGAATAGTCCCACAGTCTGCATAATTAGTGGGTTTTGTGATCTTAGTAGAAATGCAGTTTTTTGGTGGTCTTCTAAATGACGAAATGATGGAGAGATTGTTGTGACTGTCTGAAATAATCTGTTTCTTTCGGTCTCATAGTGAGGACACTGGCTAACAAAATGTGTTTCATTTTCCACTGCATTCATTGTACAATATTTACATAATCTCTCGTGCACAGGTAGTTTTTTATAGCGGCCTTTTTCTATCTCTAGTGGATGCGCACTTATTCTAATCTTACACATGGCAGCTCGTTCGTCGAATTCATTGTGGTATAGATATTTTTCCATGGAGTATTCGGATTTGACGGTCTTGTAAAATCTTAGCTTGCCGTTATCTATAGACAATTGGTGAAAGAACGTTTGAACATACATATCANAATAATTTATTTGCAAAATCATGCCCGAAGGCTAATTGCTTGTACAGTCAAGTATACAGAAACAGGAGACAGGTAACAATCTGTCTGGAAAAACCTCTACTTCTACTACTACTCTAGCTATTATGGGGTTCGACTTCTTCTTTGAAGGCAGTGGATAATGAATAGTCCCACAGTCTGCATAATTAGTGGGTTTTGTGATCTTAGTAGAAATGCAGTTTTTTGGTGGTCTTCTAAATGACGAAATGATGGAGAGATTGTTGTGACTGTCTGAAATAATCTGTTTCTTTCGGTCTCATAGTGAGGACACTGGCTAACAAAATGTGTTTCATTTTCCACTGCATTCATTGTACAATATTTACATAATCTCTCGTGCACAGGTAGTTTTTTATAGCGGCCTTTTTCTATCTCTAGTGGATGCGCACTTATTCTAATCTTACACATGGCAGCTCGTTCGTCGAATTCATTGTGGTATAGATATTTTTCCATGGAGTATTCGGATTTGACGGTCTTGTAAAATCTTAGCTTGCCGTTATCTATAGACAATTGGTGAAAGAACGTTTGAACATACATATCAGTTAGTCTTCTCTTCAACAATGTACATATACTATTGTTGTCTAATGTGCAGTGGTTGGTGTTCCATAAAAAAGAATAGCCTGCATTGTTAATTATTTCTTTGACATGGTGTAGCCAACTTTTCTTACCACTATTTTCCATATTGTGTTGCTGATAGAGTAATGCATCTACTTGTAAGGGGTGTGTGAAAGTGTCCAGTTGTTTGAGTCTTAACCAGTATTTAACTACACGGACGGATACATCTATATCTGTTGGGAACAACCCAAGTTCTGCCCTACTTGCTAGGTTACTAGAATTCCTGTGCACACCAAGAATATTTTTACAGAAGCGGTTCTGAGTTATCTCTACAGGACAATTGTCATTTGAATAATCTTTACCCCAGATCTCACAGGCGTATAACATTATAGATTTGATGCACGCATCAAAGAGTTTGAGTAAGGCCTTGGGGGACAAAGAGGTGCGGATGAGGGGTTTAAGACTAAATATTGCTTTACGAGCTTTTAAAGATAATTGTTTTTTGGCTAAAGAATAACTGCCAGACGAAGACATAATTATACCTAGGTAGGTATATGAGCTTGTGATTTGGATATTTTCTGCGCCAAAGGAAAATTTGGTGTTCTTGAATGTTCTTCCTGTTTTGTTGAAAATCATCACTTTGGTTTTCTTCAGGTTTACCTGAATGTTCCATTTCTCACAAAATGCGTTCAGTTTGTTAAGCGCACATTGTAACCCTGTTTCCGATTCCGAAAACATCACAACGTCATCTGCATAAAGCAGACAAGATACCAGTAAATTGTGTAAGGTGGGTGGGGCGCAATCAATATTATCTAAGTCATTAACTAGGTCGTTTATGAATATGTTAAAGAGGGTTGGACTGAGGTTGCATCCTTGTCTGACTCCATTGTCAGTAACAAACAATGGTGTGAGGCCGGCTGACGTTTTGACACAAGTTTGTGGGTTGGTGTACATAGATTTGATTAAACTGTAGAATTTACCACCTACTAGTATTCCTGAGCTGAGTAGTTTATACCGCAGTCCTTCACGCCAAACGCTATCGAAAGCTTTACGGAAATCGACAAAGCATGTATAAAGACGTTTATTGGCGTTAGTGTATTTAGATATTAATGTATCAATGACGAAGAGGTTGTCGTTAGTTCCAAAGTTTTTTCTAAAGCCGGACTGGTTGGGGGAAATGAGGTTATGTTCATCTAGGTAATTAGTAAGACGTGTGTTTATTACAGCTGTAAATAACTTAGCGAGGCAACTGATAACTGATATACCCCGATAATTGTTGGGATCTTCTTTAGGTCCACCTTTATGCAGTGGAACGATGTGGCTTACGCGCCATTGTTGGGGAAGTGTCCGGATAAAAGAAACAAATTGAATAAATTTGGTGAGGGGTTTGACAA